CATTAGCAGCAGCATCATCATCATTATCATCATCATCAGCATCATCATTAGCAGCAGCAGCATCATCATCATCATCATCATCATCATCATCAGCATCATCATCATCATCAGCAGCAGCATCATCAGCATCATCATCAGCATGATCAGAGTCATCAGCATCAGCATCAGCATCATCATCGTACTGTATTCATCGTCAGCATCATCAGCATTAGAAGCAGCATAAACATCATCAGCAGCATCAGCATCCGCACATCATCATCGTCCTCCTCATCATCACCACATCATCATCATCATCAGCATCATCATTACCATCATCAACATCATCATTCTGATCATCGTCACCAGCACCATCATCACCATCACCATCACCAGCACCATCTCCAGCACCATCTCCAACACCATCACCATCACCATCACCTGACTCATCATTATCACAATCATCATCATCATTACCATCATCAGCAGCATCATCATCATCATCAGCAGCAGCATCACCATCATCATCATCACCATCAGTATCATCGTCATCCTCAGCAGCAGCATCATCCTCATCATCATCACCAGCATCAACCTCCTCATGATCATCGTCTTCGTCGTCGTTATCGTTCTCGTCGTCGTCAGCATCAGCACCGTCAGCACCCTCACCATCCTCAGAAGCAGCATCATCACCAGCATCCATCACCATCAGCAGCAGCAGCAGCAGCAATCACCATCAGCATCATCATCGGCAGCAGCAGCATCATCAATGCGTCCTCCTCCTCCTCCTCCTCCTCCTCCTCCTCCTCCTCCTCCTCGCTCCTCGCTCCTCGCTCCTCGCTCCTCGCTCCTCGCTCCTCGCTCCTCGCTCCTCCCCCTGCCCTGCACCGAATGGCCTCGACAGCGGCGGTGCCGTCGTGGGCGTCTCGGAGCGGCCGAGGGCCTCGTTCCTGCCGGGCCACGCCCCGCTCCACGCCCGCGGCACACGAGGGCCCCGCAGGCTGGAGGACACGCGAGGCGAGGGGCAATGCAGCATCATCAATGCGTCCTCCTCCTCCTCCTCCTCCTCCTCCTCCTCCTCCTCCTCCTCGCTCCTCGCTCCTCGCTCCTCGCTCCTCGCTCCTCGCTCCTCGCTCCTCGCTCCTCCCCCTGCCCTGCACCGAATGGCCTCGACAGCGGCGGTGCCGTCGTGGGCGTCTCGGAGCGGCCGAGGGCCTCGTTCCTGCCGGGCCACGCCCCGCTCCACGCCCGCGGCACACGAGGGCCCCGCAGGCTGGAGGACACGCGAGGCGAGGGGCAATGCAACACGTTCGAATTGACCTCCTCCTCCTCCTCCTCCTCCTCCTCCCTGCCTTTTCCTCCTCCCTCCTTCCCCCTCCTCCTCCTCCTCCTCCCCTCACCTCCCCTTCCTCCTCCCCCTCACCTCCTCGCTCCTCCTCCTCCTCCTCTCCTCCTCCTCCTCCTCCTCCTCCTCCTCCCTTCCCCCTCCTCCTCCTCCCTCTCCTCCTCCCCTCCTCCTCTCTCCCTCCTCCTCCCCCTCCCCTCCTCCTCCCCTCCTCCTCCCTCCTCCTCCTCCCCCTCCTCCTCCTCCTCCTCGTTGTCCCCCTCCCCCACACAGGGGGGGAGCACTGCGATAGACGGTCGAAGCACACGGCCACGAGCGTGCGGGCCAGGAGCCCTCGAGCCCCTGCGCCGAAGGCCCGAGGCCTCCGGAGACGCCCACAGCGAACGGCACTCCTCGGAGAAGGAAAAGGCACTCTGGATTTCGTAATAAAGGGAGGGGGGTCTCATTTCGGGGGTGGGTCTCTTCCAGGCTATCTTGGAGGGCCTGGGGGGCTCTGGGGACGATGTTTTGGAGGGTTCTCCCACGGGGGTGGGTCTGAAATGGCTTGTCTTGGAGGGTCCAGACCCCCTCCCTTTTATTACGAACTCTGGAGTACTCTGGATTTCCTGATGACTACCTACCAAGCCACCCCAACCCAACCCGAAGACCCGAATCTGACCCGAATTTCGGGTTGGGGGGGTACGGGTTCCACGTGTTTCTCGATGCTCCCCGACCCCCCCCCACTGGAAATGGAGGGCAAATCGTGGCCTTCGGGTTGGGTTGGGGTGGTTTGGTGGGCGGTGACTTGATAAGCGTGGGGGGGGACCCCCCCGACGGGGGTCAACCTCGCCTTGTCGTCGCGCCGCGACGGGGGGTCGGAGCGCCTTCGGCGCGCGGTGGCTGCCCGCGACGGGGGCCTTTGCGGGGCTGCCTGCGGAGGTGACGCCCCCCCTACGCTTATGAAGAAACCCAGAGCACCCCTGCCTCCACCCTTCGCTCGTCCTCCCCTTTCTGGGCCTCCTCGGAAGCCCTCGTCGCCACCGCTGGATTCGCCTCGAAGTGCTGGTCAGAACGAGCCCCGGGAAAGGTCCGGAGAGTAGCGGTATCGGTACCCTTTGGTCTCCCCGGTGACGTGAAGAGCGTGACGATACACCTGCAAGGCTAGGGCTGCTCTCAACCCTCCTGCCAACCGCAGGCGAGCGGAAGGAGAAGGTTATGGCAAAGAAGGCAAAGATCCAGACGACGAAGCATGGCCCACGCTCCGCATCAACTGTGCGGCCCACTCTGCGGGGGGCAGCCTAGATGGTGACACTGTCACAACCAAAAAGCGAGACAAGAGCAGACGGGTCGCAGAACCTACCGGCTCTCGCCCGACCCCGCTACGCTTTACAAGTGGATATGAGAGAATGAGAAGGATTGGGAGAAAGAGGCGAGGCGAAGGGGTGCGAGGATGAGAAAGAGGGTTGTAAAAATTGAAGGGGAGGCCAATGAGACGGGGGGGTGGTCGAGAAGGAAGAGGGGGAGGAGAAGGAGGATAATGAAGTGAAGGGGGAGGAGGATGAGGATACGCAGGAGAGGGAGGATGGGAACCGGGAGGAGGAGACGGAAGTAGGAGTAGGGAGAGAGGCAGAGAACGGGGAGGAAGAAGAGCAGATGATGTGGACGGCGGGGAGAAGGGAGGGAAGTCTCATGTGCTCAACGCATATACAGACCACGGCCTCCCAACTTCTGCAATTCGGAGATCCTCCCCGCTTTCCCTGTGGCCACCTTGTTGCGCCCTTCTCTGCAGCCACACCACCCCAAGGGAAACCAAGCAATGCAGCCATGTCGTAAGCGAAGATACAGAGACAGATAGAGCGAGAGAGAGAGAGGACGAGAAAGAGAGAGAGAGAGAGATACAAATGACATAAAATAGTTGCACAGGTACGCCCAGCACCCGAACCCTCGGATCAAGAAGAAGAAGCGGGGTCGATCCATTGCGTCGTTGCGGTCCCTGCGCAGCTGCCAGCAAGCGTCGTTGCGGTCTTTGACAGCGGCGGTGGCCGCGAATCGCTCAAGTTGCTCGGCACCTGATGCTGGGGCGATGCTGTGCGGCTCGGTCTCCTACTGCACATGAGCTCAAGCATGTTAAAGTTGGCCACACGGCATACATGTAAGACGCATGTCTGCAAACAAACTCCGCGGTGATGGCGTCTCAAGACGAAGCATGAATGTGACAAGTCAATGGGATGCGCACCTGAGCTGAGGTGGTGGGGGTGCACGGCACATGGAGGCTACGCAAACACAAACATGGCTGCACACTCTCGCGCCCCCCCCCCGCCCCCCACACCCAACCCCGCACCCTCCCAACTTCTGCGAAAATGCGCTAGTGTCCAATCCTGTCAAAGTCTGCTTGACCTCGGACCATAGATGGCTACAACAGGCCACCGTAAGAGCATCTACACATGAGAGCAAGCCCATCAAAAGTCAGGCTCCACTGAGACTAAGTGCACGTATCGGAACGAAGCGTACAGCCCCATGACACAATTTGCACCAAGCCAGGCAGGCTTGAAATTGGCGAGTCACGAAACGATGAAAAAGATAACTGCTGGGGGCAACGTTGGGGGTCGGAAGAGGAAGAGGAAAGGGAGGTGCAGGGGCAGGAGCAGGAGGAAGAGGAGGCGGAGCAGGAATAGGAGAAGCCTCCCGCCGCTTTCCCTGCCAGAGGACTCTAATCACTGTGGCTTTGCACCCTTGCCAGACGCACAGCAGCTGCGAAAGGCAATGATTCCCTCCTGCTCCTCCTCCGCCTCGTCCTCCTCCTCCTCCTCCTCCTCCTCATCCTCCTCCTCCTCCTCCTTTTCCCCCCATCCTCCGCCTTATTGTCTTTCTATCCACCTATCCATTCTCCTCCGCATAGTCATCCACTGCCTCATCATCCCCTCTTCTCCTATTCCTCCATGTCCTTCTCACCTCCTCCATCTTGTGTGTAACATCCTCGTCCGTCTCCTCATCATCATCCTCAGTATGCGTATCCTCCGTCTCCTCCATACGTAGCTGCCCTGATACGCAGCACGCGACACGTAGCGTATTGAAACGGAGCTCAACACGTAGACTGAACACGTAGGTCGTGCGCGATACGCTCGCCAAAACGTGGGCCAATACGCTGAGACAACACGCAACGTAGTGACACGGACGTTCTGAACAGTGTACGTGTTGCGTTTCAAGGCGGGCGTATCAGGGCAGTGAAGCCTCCATATGTTCATCCCTCCTCCTCCTCCTCATCCACCTCGCCCTCATTGTTTCAAACATCAGGACAATCACCGCCCTCACAATAGCCGTGCTTCCTCCTCCTCCTCCTCCTCCTCCTCCTCCTCCTCCTCCTCCTCCTCCTCCCCCTCTTCCTTCTCCTCCACCTCCACATCCTCCTCATCCTCGTCTTCGTCGAGGCTGACATCGTCGGGTCGCCCCTAAACAAACAACATGCATCGTCGTCGCCATAACAACATGCTCCGTTAGCATCCCCGTCCTCAGCAACCTCGTCCTCAACCACCTCATCCTCCCAAGCATCATCATCAGAATCGCCCCCCCACCAGGACCGACATCATCAGCATCATCATCATCATCAGCATCAGCATCAGCCTCAGCCTCAGCCTCAGCATCAGCATCAGCATCAGCATCAGCATCAGCATCAGCATCAGCATCAGCATCGTCGTCAACAGCATCATCATGAGAATCAGCATCATCATCATCATCATTATCATCATCATCAGCAGCATCATCATCATCAATATCATCAGCATCACCACCATTGGAGTCATCATCTTCATCATCATCATCATCATCATCAGCATCATCATCATCATCATCAGAATCCGCCTCCTCATCATCACCATCATCCTCAGCCACATCATCATCATCATCATCATCAGCAGCAGCAGCAGCAGCATCAGCATCAGCATCAGCATCAGTATCCTCATTATCCTCATCCTCATCACCATGAGCACAACCATCAGCATTGCAAACATCATCATCAACACCACCATGGTCATCATCATCATCGTCAACGTCGTCATCATCACCAATCAACAATCATCATCCACCAACCATCAGTCATCAATCACCTATCACCAATTACCAATCACCAATCACCTATCATCACTCATAAATCAGAACCACCACCCTCACTGTCTCCACCATGATCGTCGCCCACATCATCAAAAGGAAGAGTACAATCATAATCACCATCACCAGTGCGCCTGTGTGACCATCCTCCTCACCATGATACTCCTCCCACCTCGCGTTTGCGGAAAAATGATGGGAGTGCGCGAGACAGCGCAAGGCCCATCGATGACCGAACCCCCCTCCCCCGTAATGTCTTAACACGGGCGGGTTCCCGGGTCCGCGGACCCGATTATTCCGGTTCCCCGTTTCAATTTCCTTATGTTATTGGAAACGGGGTAGGAATCGGATCCGCCGTAAAAAACAGGACCGCACGCGGATCCAGAAAATCCGAAATCGGATCCGTGCGGACGGAAATCGGATACACCGAAACAGAAACCAATAACAAAATTGGATTCGCGCGAACTTCGCTGGATCCCATGGCGGTTATCTCATACGCGTCTGTTCATGACTTCGAGCCGTCGTTCCCGGCCCAAGAGGAAGAAACTTTCGCCCTGGGGATGTAGTACTGTGTGACCTCCTTGGAGGCGTGCGTTCGACCCGAATATATCTTGCAATATATCGTACTCCTAGCGGTACGGACAGAAAGTGCCCGCCACGACGCATATACTATAAGATTCCTCGGTGCGCGCGTTGCCCCAAAGGGGGCGACGCACACAGTGTACTAATGTGCCAATGTGACGCCGAAGATAGAGAGTGAAGGAGCCCGGGGGAGGGCAGAGTGAGGAGGAGGGCAAGGAGGGGCATGGGGAGGGACGGGGGGAGGGATAGGCGGAGGAAGAGAAGGAGGCGGAAGGAGGAGGGGTGGGGGCAGAGTGAGTCGGAGGAGAACAAGATCTAAGAGCACTGGAGGTATCTCGAGGCCCCCTGGCATATCCAGGGTCAGGTCGGGCATGTCCTTCTAAAGGCGGATTGTGGGAGGAAAATGAAACACGGTCGAAACATATGCACAAACGGTCAAAACATCGAACACACATTTTTTTGTATATTCGAGAATAGTCCTCCAGCAGAGGGACACGCCCTACTTACATCCAGGGTTGTCTGGAGGTCCCCGGAAGTCACTGGAGGCCTCCAGTCGGGGATGGACAGACCCCCCTTTAGCAAAACGTGGTTTAGTGAAATCGACCTGCGGCCCAAATCTGGCGGGCGCAAGCCTGGAAAATAACGGCCACGGCGCCCTCTCGAGAACCGAAAACGGACAATTCACTAATCGACGTGTCACTGTTGGGGGTTCTGTCCACCCCCGATCCAGAGGCCCCGGAGGGGCCGAGCCCTCAAGGCCTCGGTCCCCTCGAGCCTCGGCCCAGGGGGGGGGGGGGCGGGGAGCGGGGCCTCGCACGGCCGACGGGGGTACGGAGAGAGCTGGACCGGTGCCCAACCTTAGGTCGGGCATGTCCCAGGCTGATGTTTCAAACTATTTTGGGCGAATCCTCCGGTAGAGGGACATGTGACTACCTACCAGACCACCCCAACCCAACCCGAAGACCCGAATTTCGGGTTGGGAGGGGTAAGGGTTCCACATGTGTTTTTTCGATGTTTCCCAACCCCCCCCCCCACTGGAAATCGAGGGTAAATTTGGGCCTTCGGGTTGGGTTGGGGTGGTTTGGTGGGTGGTGAATGCCCGACTTGACCAATGGGCGGGCTGGGCTATCGGGCCCCTGTAGGCGATCAGTGAGCGACTGTGTAAACAGGCGAGCGGGTAACACGCACAGATTGAGAGACGACGCGCCTGTCCTTGATGATGTTGACCCCTCGCGAGGAGCGGTCGGTCTTCGTCCCCGGTATTTCCCTGCCCGGTTCGATCATTGCGCCAAGGGGTGTTCCCGACAACCTCTCGCCATGCAACGGGCGTGGCGCGCGCGGCGAGGCCGGCCTGGCCTGCTGATCCTCTGTCGTCGACCTCCTCGAGGCCTTGGGAGCTGGCTCGAGGACCTGTCGCGGGCGGCTCGCTGAAGGCACAAGGGGGGGGAGAGAGGAGGAGCAGCAGGAAGAGGTTGGGGCATGGCGGGGCCTTGGTAGGCATGGAGGAGGAGGAGGAGGAGGAGGAGGAGGAGGAGGAAGAAGAAGAAGAAGAAGAAGAAGAAGAGGAGGAGGAGCGAGGAGCAGTTGGAAGAGGGGGGCACGCAAGGCGGGTGCTTGCCTCCTCGACACCCTCGAAGCGGGCCGCGGGCGCCACGGCAGTGGACGCCGCAAACACACGTCTGAAGCGAGCGCAGCGGGCGGACCATTACAAGGAGCAGGAGGAGCAGCAGCGCACGAGGGGAGCAGATAGGCAGCCGATTTGTGAGCCCTGCCCCTTCTGACGCTCGATCTGGACGAGCGCGGGGTTCGCCAGTGGGCGGTCGGAAACTGCGAGCGGGCACGAGCGAGGTGAACCCGAGAACCCTTGCTGATCCAACTCGATGGGCGACACGGGTGTGGCTCACGTGTGACGTTCCGCATGGAGGGAGGAGGGGGGGCCTGGCGCGCGCGGTTCCTTTCCCACGCAATCATCGAAGAAGCCAGCCCCGCCTGTCCTCGAGGGCCCACCCCGCCGTCCTGCAAGCGGCACCCCAGCAGCGCGGCCACGCGCGGAGCGGGACCTCGTCATCCGGGTCCAGGTCCGAGCCTGGGAGCTCCTCGGCCTCCGCGGGATGGGGCTCCCGACTCCACGAGCTCCTTCTGCTCGGGACCGGCGGCGGGGAGCGGGCATGCCTCCTCCTCGCCCCCCGCGGCGCAGACCGTGCCGCCTGCCTCTCCTCGGGGCCGGGCGGTGGGAAAGCCCTCGTCTGGCGCTGCCGGATCCGCCCGTGGGGACCCTTCCGGCATTGCCGGCTCCTCCTCGCCACCGCCCGAATGGTGGGGGTGTCCGCCGCCGCTGCGGGCTTCCAGATGGCAGCCCGCGACGACCCCCGCGGCGGCCCCCGCCGCGGTGCCGGGGCCGAGCCGTGGCGGGACCGGGCTGCAGCGGTCCGCCCCTCCCCAGGGTGGACCTGGCAGGCCTGCCCTGCCAAGAGCACAAGCAAGGCGATGCCCGGCATGGCCGGCCCGGGAATCAGGGGCAGCCCCCTTCGCCAATACAGGCGGGTTATTGCGCACAGGACGCGCGACAGGACACAGGACTCTTCCGGCAGCATGGCCTCCAGAACCACAGGACACAAGGGTACCCTGCCGAGGCCGCGACCGCGGTGACCCGCGGCCGACCCGCGCCCGAGCCCGAAGAGCCAACGGGGCAGGAGGAGAGGGGGAGGAGGAGACGGGAGACGGGCGAATGGCGAGCCCGCGGATCCGACCCCAGACATGCGACGTCCTGATTTTTTCAGGACGGCGTCCCCGCAAGTCCCGACCCTTTCCCCGGGACCGGTTTTTCGTCCTGAGTCGTTTTTTGACGGTCCCGAGGCCCGGCGAGGACCTCTAGAGGGCGAAAATATTCAAAAACCGCCCGTCCTGATTTTTTTACGACCCCGTCCTGATTTTTTTACGACGCCATCATGTCTGGGACTGCTACCGCCTGAGCCCCAACAAAACCAGGTACTCCCCGGACCTCTCGCGGGCCGCGTTCTGACCAGAAGCTCCAGGAGAGAGCCTTGCCGTGGCCGGCGAGCGCCGCCCGGTCTCCTCTAGCATTGACGGGCAGGCGCGCAGCAGCGCTGGCATTGTCCGAGGGCACGGGTGCAGTGAGGCCGTGTGGGCGACGAACCAAAACGGGTTTTACGCGAGATGGCACGGCGACCTTCCGCCACGGCTTCTGCGGCCCGCCGGCGCGGCACGCTACACTGGACCAGGAGCGCCTACGCACGATCTTGCGCGAGCAGCGTACGCGCCAACGGCGGCGAAGACGACCCCGTGCTGGTTTTCGTGACCCACATTCGAGGGGACGTAAGACTCGGGTTCGGGGGACTCGGGTTGGCCTGGCGGGGCCATCATGAAAATCACGAGACCCAGTCTGACATTTGGCGCGAGCTCCCGCTGCAAACGTCCCTCGAAAACTGGACCGTCAAAACCCAGGACGCGCACGTCAAAGAGCGTGGGCCAATCCGAGTTCTGGCGTAGTCTTACTTCTGTGGCAACTCATGGGAGCCTCCCATACCATCTTGTTGACACTCATGCGAACCGACGCTAGTCGACGCTAAACCGTTGCGAATCGACGCTGAATCGACGCTAACCGACGCTACATCGGCGCTATCCCACCGACTCCAAGAGACTAGCCGACGCTAGTCGACGCCGAAGATGGAACTACGAGAGGGTACAGTCGGGGCGTTGACCTAAGGAACCCTAAATAAGGAACGAGGCCATTTTTTTCCATAAGTTGACCTTCGATTCCCCATCGAAAACACAAGGAAAACCTCAGGCAAGCTGCGAAATGATCAAGGAACACGGAGCCCCTCCCCAACGAACAGGGTTCCTTCTTCAGGGCCCCGACTGTACACCAGGCTCCCATGATTTGCTGCTGCGGCGACGAGCAAAGGGCCTGCGCGCCAGCAGAGGCGCACGGCGTGAAGAGCCGCAGGGCTCGGTGGGGAAGGGCGGCGGCCCGCCGCCTCGGCCCTCGTCCCGTGC